TGCCGCCATGTGATTGGCTGATTAGAAATTAAGTGTTAACGAGCAGTTGGACAGGTGTACCTAATAAAGTGGCCGGTGAGTGTATATTGCCCTTTCTTGCCAGAGTTTTAAACTAGAATGATATTTAATGCAAAATGACAAATTATAGCCTGTTTAACCAAACTTTAAAAGTAAAATTTGTGATCACACATACTGTAATATTTAAAGTTGAGCCTCAACAGTTTACTCCGTCAGTTAATGCCGAAGTGTTTTACCTTAATAAAATTAATAATGCAATGTGATGTATGTGATGTGTTGGGGATGACTCTCAGCTATTACCACACCAAATTTTAGCTCAGTATCTGCAAAATTAACTTAGTTATAGCCTATTTTTAAAACTTTTAATTAGCTGTGGCCATCTTTAATCTGGTTGACTTACAAGGTAATCAATTGTAGATGTGTATCCAATGATTAGGTTCTGAATGTTGAATAATGAATCTGTTCAGTGGTTTGTGAGATATTTTTTTGCTAACACAACAAACTCACAGACACAAACATTTAATGATGCTGACATTTGCATCCATTTCTTATCCAGGTCAGTTTGTTGCTTTAGCAGGGAGAGAAAAATGTTCAAACATTTTCCAAATTCAGTTTGAGTGTTTGTTTATTTAGACATATTTCATCAGACTATATAAAAATAAGAATAATTGACCTGAAGGAATTGTCTCAAGGGATCAATAAAGTTATATCTAATCTAATCTAATAACATCAAACAATACAACTGTCTAGTCAAAATAAAAAAGTACTTGAAGTTTTTGTAAATAGACATTAAATCTGTAATGTAAAAAATGACATTAGCTATGACTCACAGGATGTTGTGTTTTTTAACGTTTTAATGATCATTTTCACCCACAGCCATGAAAGTGAGCAATCATGTAATTGCTTGTGTGTTTATCTGTTAGCAAAAAAACACAATAAGCTGTAGATGGATTTTAATAGAACTCCGAGAAAGTATTGATCGGAGGTTCTTCTACAATCAATTACTTTTTGATTGAAAATGTGTGTCACAACTCCTAAACTTTGTCAAACACAAAAATGGCTCCAACTCAGTCAAATCTACAGATAYTGAGCTCAGATCCATTGTGTTAACAGCTGAAAGTCCTACCAAACACAGACTCTGAGCTCTAACAGATCACACTGATCTTTGTTTAAAGAGGACATATCATACAAAATCCCCCTTTTTTTTAGCTGTTAAAACACTTTGGAGTCTCTACGGGTGCTGAAAATTTGAA